GATGAAGGAATGTGACTAGGCCATCCAACAAATGAAGTGGTACCTAAGCTTGTTGCCCTTACTAACAATGTCGAACCCTAGAGTCCAACTATTGTTGTACCCTTTAGTTGGTGACAAAGCGGTTAGCTTAGTCCTAGTAAAGGAAGAAGACGGGGTCCAAAACTGATCTACTACACCCGCAAAGTCATCCGGGATGCGGAAAGCAAATATCCAAACATGGTGAAAGTCTCCCTGGTCGTCGTTACCTTGGCTAAGAAACTCTGGCCTACTTACAGGCACACAATCTCCACATCCTAACCGATCAACGCCTAAAGTAGATACTACAAAAACCTAAGACGTCAAGGCGACTAATAAAGTTGAGTGTGGAACTCAACGAATGTCAGCATCCAATTTTTGCTTTGTCCCTTTACCAAACCTCTTTGTACCCTACTCTTAAACCCCAAAACTCATAATCGCAACTAGATTAAATTAAGACTTTACAAAGGCAAAATATTCCTCTTTTGACAAAATCAAAAGGACAAATGAAAACCTTAAGACCAACATCGACGCCTAATCAAATATGGCCTACAAACTTTAGACACTATAAATTAGTCACATGTCCATCGTTCATCATGGCAACTTCCTTTCTAATGGCCTTAATCCAACACATCCATCACATCAATGTCATTAAGATACAATCAACTAGTGAATCCCATTGCAAGTCTACAACAACCAACATTAAAAGTGCCAAGATTTCATTTTAGCAACCCCACACAACTAGAATTAGAAAACCTAGATTAGTTGTTTCTTCATTAAATCAGAACCATCCACTTGACTTCTCACCTTAATCCGTACCTACCCACTAAATTTTAGCTCCAAATTCCCCCATTTGACTCACCATCAAGCCAGATATAAACTTCAATAAATTTCATTGATTAAAGCTTATCATCCATCATTCCAAGTTCATTTGGCCAATCAAACTTTACCACTGTGTTCGGAAACTCAAAAAAATCTCAGCACGTAAATTTCATGACCAAACTCCTCCATTATGCCATTAAGAAAGTGAGATTCCATTTCAAGCCTTCTTGTTAATTGATAAACCAAGACCCAAACCAAATTTGCCAGTCTATACCTCATATCAAAGATCCATCACTTCCATTACATTCAAGACATTCAAAAGTGCCTACCCACCAAATTTCATCCCAAAGTTCCCCCATCGGCCCTTCATGAAGCAAAGGTTTTATTTTAGCAAATCTCATTGATTTGAACTTGCTATCCACAGATCTCCATTATCCCAACTCTCTTTCGCCAATGAAACCTCACCACTATGTTCAGAGACCCAAACAATCCAACACGTCAAATTTCATTACCCGATTCGCTTATTTGATCGTTAAACTAGGAAAATGCAATTTCAACGCATCAAATTAAATTGCCACCTCATCTGTCCCAATCTGAAACTTCATAAGTGCGATGGCTAATGTTAGACCCATTCTTGACTTGTTCAAACACTTGGACCAGTGAAGTTGAGCCTAATAGACCCAAAAGCCTAAAAACCCAAAGATACTCCCACTTAAAACTAAGAAAAGACAAAACCACTTTTAAAAGTTCATCAAATTTAAATTTTTTGCCACTAACAGTTCCAAATGAGATTGCCATGACAGGCATGCCCCAAGCTCCCATTGGATGCACAAAAACCGTGAAAATTACCCCAAATCAAAGAAAACCTTTCATCAAAGAAGAAAGCTTGACTAAACACCATTTCCTTTGAAAATTCTTTACCCATTTTTGTGAAAAAGTTGTCTTCAAGTCTAGGCACTTTGATTGGGCAAATTCTAGAGCTCTTCCCCTCTTCTTCCCTATAAATATAGACCAAACTCGAGCTATCGGGGAAGGCTGGAGGAAGGAGAAAAAAGAGGAGGGGATGAAGAAAGAGAAAAAACAAAGGAGAGATACAAAAAGCATTCCCAACTCCTATAGGTGTCTTGTTCACAAGAAAACCCCCAAGCATTTAAACCCGAAATTCCAAATTCATTCTACTGTGTTTCAGACTTGAAATTTGCACGAAACCTCCAAGCATTCAATAGTTTCAAACATCTTTCGATTTTATCCAACCACTCATTTGTTCAGTTCAAGTGCTGGAAAACTCCTGTCAAGGTTGTATACGAGACGTAAGTCTCTCATTTTAACATTTGAACCTGAATTTATAATTTCTGTGCTCGATTTAGTTTTGGGTTGCTTAAAGTCCCGAAATCATGGGAAACTTGCAATTCTAGTTTCCTCCAAATTGAGAAAAAATAGTAGAGAGGCAAGGGTCTTCGAAAAATCAGTACCTAAGACCTAATAACATCAGCTCAAATCAATTATGGGTGAAGTTGGGAGTATTTTCACCTAATTTTAGGAGCTATGAGCAATTATTTTCAATGTTGTTTCACGTGAAATAAAGCCTAGACAATTCTCTTATTGGGCTGCTATAGCAGCTTGGAGAGAGGGGTGCCTAACACCTTCCCTCTCCCAATCCTTAGGATCCAAAATCTTCCAATCTAAAAACGAGGACCCATTTCCTCTAAGAAATGGGTGGCGACTCCATTTCTTTGAGCCAACCATGAGATTTTCGGAGCCTACAACGAATTTGACCTCGACTACGATCCTCAGCCCGCAATCAAAGCTCAACCCCTAGCTGACTGAGTGTACGTTTTCAGTCCCAAACCAAGTTGAGGAACCCCGAGCTTGGACGTTGCATGTAGATGGGTCGTGCAACATACAAGGGAGCATTGCTGACCTCATTCTCCTTAAAACGGATGACATTGTTCTCAAGCACACCCTCAAGTTTGAGTTCTAATCCTCCAACAATGATGTAGAGTACGACGCGCTGATAGTTAAACTCCGCTTTGCACGAGATGTTTGAGTGAAATGAGTCAAAGCCTTCATTGACTCCCAGTTGGTGGTGAACCAATCAAACAAACAGTTTAAAGCACGAGAGCCCACCATGGCCAGTTACCTATAGAAAGTGCAAGAGTTCGTCACACAGTTTGAACACTTCATCATACAGCAAATACCGAGAGTCAAAATACCTTTAAGCAGATGTCCTTTCTAAGCTCGCAAGCTCACCACAGTCTAACCTTAGAGGCACAATTCGAATAAACACCCTAGCTCACCCAAGTATCTCTTAGATAACCTTAATAGTCTTCCCGTTGTAGTAGAAACCAAGGTTTTAAAAATCGACTCGGAAACAGAACCGTTCTTGCTATCGGTTTTCGGGTTAGTGGTTCAACCATCTGGGTTGAATGGTTCAAACGGTTTGCATATCAAGGCAACTGTTTATATGAGATTTGCCCTAATATGCAAACCTCATATAAGAAAGAAGAGATGTCGGCCAAGAAAGCCAGAAAGGAGAAAGGAGAACTGTTGTCTACTAAGAAAGAAAAAAAGAAAGAAGAAGAAGGAGGGAGAGAAAAAGGGAAGGAGAGGAGGGAAGAGGAGGAGGATGATTTGATACCGGTGACGATAGCGGTGACGACGATGGTGAGGCAGCGAAAACATATGCAGATCTGAGACCTGAGTTTTTGGATCTTAGATTTGAGATCTCGGCTCTCGGATCTCATATCTGAAGTTGATTTCTCTAAAACACTTGTAGTCTTCTTCTTCTTCTCTTTGTGCTAGATCCTAGATCTGAGTTCGTGTCTCAGATTGGATATCAGATCTAAGTTCTCTTCTCTGCAACTTTATATTACGAACAGTTGGCCGGGTCAAACGAGTCAACGGTTCGACCACTCGAGTCAGTGATTTTCTGACAAAGTCAATGGTTTTTAACACAAGAACAGATTAGGGTGAAACAGTACCAGTTGCTTATCTCTCCCATACGAAACCAATTATGTTCCCTTTTTTTTCTCCAATGTTTATACTCTCGGGCATTTGACATTCTTTTTTTTGAACAACAACGGGCGGCGACCGGTGAACAAATGGCAAGAAGAAGAAGATGAACAGTATTTTTGCCATTTATTAATATTATTTTTAAAAAGTTAACCTTACACTCTCGGGCATTTGGCATTGTTCCGGTATCATAATCGAAGGGATCAATGGCTGGGGGGCCTTGCCACGAAGAGCCTGCATCAACACGAGATCGTAGAGGTGACTATTTGATACTATATCTTTCTCGTATCATAGATTTTCTCATAATAAAAATAAAAATCAGAAGGCCAAATTTCGATCCATTTACTTTAGAGGGTTCCACGTATAAAAGCGATTTAAAGGGGCTTCCATGCCGAGGCTTTTGACTTTGAAAGATAGGGTCCACCTTAAAAACCAATAACCAATGTTTGGTAATTATCATACAGCTATTTACACGGCTCTTTTAACAATTGAGAATATCTCCTGATGAATAAAGCACAATGTTACTGACAATTATACAGATGTTCCTGATGAACGGTTCCAAAAGGCTGAGGACGGAATGAGGACGGAATTCATACTCTTCTTTGAAATTTGAACAAGCCTTCCTTCAATAATAATTTTTTAAAGCACTTGCTGCTATATAAGCCTCCCAAACAGGCCCCACATTTTTCAAAGCAGCTGCTCAGGGCCCTTCTGAATTGGGCCAACGTTTGTTGTAATTCCGAGTTGGGCCATCGGCACTGCTCGAATATGTAGCTCTACTCTAAATAGAAAAACACAAGAGTCTCCAAAACACCAAGTGCTCAATCAACGCAGCTCAATTTACACAAACACCTCAAACGCGGAAGCCCTCACAAACGGGGCCACGGCAGATTCCATTCAAGATCAAAATCATTTCCTTTGTGGTGGTCCCAATTTTCTTGGCCTACCTACTACATTATAAGCCCAGGCCCCAGCGCATAAAGATCAGTGCCCCCCCCCCCCAACTTCACAAGTCACTCACAATTATCTATAGAATCGCAACAGCAGCTGTTCTATTGTCCAGTCTCACACTCTCTCACTCTTATCTTGTTTCAAATTTTAAAACAGCAAGAACAAATCTAGGGAAAGAAACAATCATCTACAACAGAATAGATTCCTCTTGCTCATATCGCGATAGAAATATAATCATATTCAATATAAAAATTTAATTTCATAAGAAATAAAATAAAATCTAACAAATAGTTCTATCCTCTGTACACGGCTTTAAGTAATAACTGAACAAAATTTGTAATAAAAAAATAAATCCCCTCTCTAGCTCCCGGCACCAAACTAGCACCCCTCACTCCCTCAGGCCCCATCTACAGTAGACAGTAATAAGAAGAAATCCCTCAAGTAGAGGGAATTAATGGGGAAGGGAAAGACAAACAACCAGATATACAGAGAGAGCGAGAGAGAGGGAGAGGGAGAGAGAGTTTATAAATCATAACTGATCAATCTAACGCATTCGGACCAGCACAAGCCTTCAAAATCGGGCTCCATATCCACTGAACCAGAAACCTCCTCCCTCTCCTCCCGTTCAGGTTAAACGTCCTCCCTGCACCATCCCTCATCACCTGGCCGATGTATCCACCTCCCCCTCCTGTCCCGTATAATCCCTCGCACAGGTCCCCGATCTCCGTGGGAGCTGTCGGATCCTCCCCAGCATACCAAGCATTCACCAATGGATTCGTCGACAGCTCGGCCAGTTCGTGCCCGATCACGCTGATCATGCCGTCCACACCCACGTCCCCATTCGGAGGTGCCAACGCGCCTGGCCCACTGCCCGCCATGTACCCGGGTGTGGCGAAAGGGTACGCGCATACCTCTGGGCACTGCTTCCCGGAGTTCCCAACCCAGGCGTATGGCAGCGTGTACCCGACCATGGACGGGAACGTGAAGTAGTGAAACCCACACACCGCCCGACAGAAGTCCTGAACGGTGACATCGCTGGAGGTTAGGATCAAGTAGATTCCGTTCTTGTGATCGACGGGGAAGGGAGCGGATTTGACGGCATTGCCGATGACTTGTTGGATGGAGAGGCGGGTGAGGTGGGTTCCTTGGGAGTAAAGCTGATCGACGTACTCCTTTGCGATGAGCACCGTTCGGGAGACGTTGGCGCCGGTCTGGTCGGTATAGAGAGAAGCGGTGCTCCACCACTTGGAGACAGAAGGCGAAGCGGCTGCGCGATGGTTGGCGGAGATGGAAAGGAGGAAGTCCTTGATGATGAGCTTCTGGGATGGGTTCCACTTGCCGTACCAGATGAGGTAAATATTGATCGGAGAGGAGAGGACGGGACCCATATGGTAGCGAAGGTGAACGAGGTCGGAAGAACCCTCGTACTTCTTGGAGGACGAGAGCGCGTGGGCTGGGAGCTTTGGGTTGTAGTACTGTGGGGGTATGTCAAGGGTTTGGGTTGTGAGAGCAGCCATGCTGCCGCTGCTGCTGTGTAGAGATAGGAGCAACAGAAGAAGAAGATGAAGAGAAAATGTCCCTGACATTTTTGGGTTTTGGGTTTCAGGCGGTTGCTCTTCCAGTTTCAATGGAGGTGGCCAGAAGCGGAGGAGGGGTCAAGAGTCGGGAGCCAGCTTGGTGTTGGAGCCTTTGTGGAAAGGGTGAGGTGAGGGGATGATCGAGGAGATGAGGTTTATACTTTATATAGGGAGTAGGGACTTGGGGAAGAGAGAGTAAAAAAAAATAAAGAGTACGAGGGAAATGGGCTGGTGACAGCTGCATTGTGGGCACTCTCACAGTCCTCTCTCTCGCTTTCTCCCTCGTGTTCTCCTCTGTGGTTTGTTCAACTGTTCTGGAACGAAAACTGGGAATCGCTTTTCCAGTTACGAATTTAATGACAACAATACCCCCAATATTTGTATATATGGTCATTTACTTAATACTTATAACACCATATAGTTTTACGGATTTAATTGAACTTTTATGTATAGTTTTCATTTCAAAACATCCATATTGTTTGTGTCTTATAAGAGATAAAAATGATATTTTTATTTTTATTTTCTTTTAATTAAATTTATTTAAATAGGCCTTAAGACCAAAACTGTCATTCTTCCCTTATTCAACGGTGATTAAGTAAATCGATTACAAATTATAGGGGTATTTTGATAAAACAAAAATATATAGGTAAGTTTTAAAAAGTCCATGAAATTATTTGGAGTACTTAAATAATAGGTAAATTAGAATAGAAACCTTATACTTTGGGGGTAGTGATAGATAGACACTCCAACTTTCAATTGCAACGATTGATTAAAAAATAGACATTTAAATCCATCCATTAATATTTCGTCAATTAATATATATTTTTAAAATTATTATCAAATAACTAAAATGTCTTTCCATAATGACGTTTTCATATAGACAATAAATAATATATTCAAAATTTTGGACATCGATATTTTTTACTGATGACCAAGTGTTATTTTTTGGTGTAGGATATTTAAATATTGTAATTGAAAGTTCAGTATACCCATCAATCACTAACCTAAGGTAAAAGGATACCTATATGTAATTCAGCCTTTAATAAATGACTTTTGTATATTTTAGTTTTGAATGAATCAAATGACCGTTCGGACACAAAAATGCTTTTTTATTTACCACATGAGTGTTTTTTTAAAAGATATTTGCATGAACAGTTACAGTTGAGCCCCACAGATGGCCACAAACAATTAAAATCTCCTATCCACCTTAAAGGACGTAAAAAAGATCTCCAACCGTCCGATCATTCGTCCTAGGTGGTCCCACAAAACTATCTTGTCTGGAATTTGGTTTAGCTTCTATCAGAAGTTACCACAGCGACTGGTATAAGTTTCTCGAATTTCAAAATATTTACTTTTCAATTTTAAATCAGTGGACAGTGGTAGGGTCGTGCTGTCATGCATTTCGGTGTTGTGTAAATTCGCATGGGCTCTCCACAGAGCACGCCTCACATACACATCCAACCGTCTATTGAGAACATCTTACAGTAACTACTACGATAGATATTTCTAATGCACGGTTGGATTATATGAGAATCCAATCCGAAAAAATCGTTCGCGAAAGTCGCTTCCCAATCAGTGCACGTGGATCACGATCCAATGGTGTAGGTGTGGATCAGATCAATCTCGATGTGAACTCTGATGGTACCGATACAGTTTTATAGGTAGGACTTCGCACCAAAGTTGGAGTGGTATAGAGAAAAGGGTAAAAATGTAAAAACCTCACAGGAAAAGTCTATGGCAATCATAATAAGCTCCTCTGAAATTTCACTTTGACAAAAAAATTTCCTATAATTCCATAAAAACCTGCAATTTCCTCCCTTCAAGGTTACGAAATTACTCTTATTATTTATTAAGGCATCTTTCAATATAATTGAAAATGTCATATTTATCCTCTTCCGGAGTTATCAAAAAAAAAAAAAAATAGTGTCATATTTTCCCTTTTAAACTTCACTATACCTAACATTTTCAATTTATTCTTTTCAATCTTATTGGAAAAACTTTTTTTAATTAAAAGTGAAATATTTTGGAAGAATATAAGGATAAAGTGGATACTTTAAAAAAATTAATGCTTTTTATTTTTCTTTTTAAGCCTAGGCATATACATTCAACTTCCGACAAGGTAACATCTCAGAATAAGAATAGAGTATTACTATCGACCTTACAAATGAAAGAGATGATACCCAAGTTAGCACAAGTAACAAGTTTTAGGGGTGTCCATTGGACTGGATTTGGTACGATCCAGTCTAATGTGAGTTTATTACAAATGGACTAGGTTCAATTCAACTTAATGAATATTTTGGATAAGTCTAATTCAATGTTTGGACCGTCTAATATGTTCAAACTTATTTTAATTTAGATTGGTTCTAATTCAACCCTTGCCCACTGATACTTATATTCTTATCTTTTATTAATGGGTTAGATATGGACTCAATCCAACCTAATATTCCAGTGATGATCAGGTCCAATCCAATAAATAATTTGGATTGATCCAATTTAACGTATCTTGTTGGTCCATCTAATCCGTATAAATTAATTTTGGACTGTACGGGTCCATTGACACCAAACTAGTGAGATAATCCAGTACAACTTGAGCACTAAAGCTTTAGAAAAACATGACAGTAGAGATATTCACTCCATAATTATATGATTTAGCCTTCAAGAAGGGTCTATGTGGGAATTGAATACTTTCACAATAACTTTGTGAAAGTATTCAATTCCATCCTCTGTTTCTTACGCAGAAGAGGATGGGAACATCAAAAACAAACGTTTTCCATCAAAGACAACAATATAAGAAAAAAAAAATAGGTAACTGCAGATTTTTTCAATACTACAGGTTTTTGTGAAAATGAAAACTCAGAGGAAGCTTTTATTATTGTCATACACCTCTCAGGTGAGGTTTTTATATTTTACGTTTTACCCTTGCGAGATTTCTTCGTCCTCCGGGGAAGGACGTTAGTAACGTTAGTCCTTGTACTATGTCCAGCGGACAATTAAGAGATACATCCAACTATTAGTCTTACACGTGTCTATGTTAAGGGTCTTTTCGTCTTTTTATGTGAGCGATAAGAGGCCATGCATGCATTCAAAACAATCCAGGTATGTGGCATGCAGCAATCAAAACGACAGATTGGTGCAATTTCGCCAGGTGGTATGAGGTGATGAAGTGGACCCACTTGGCCACTTCTTGTTGTTGTTAGGACAAAAGATATACAATGACAAATGGGGGTATAAAACGACAAGCGCTAACTTCCTTCTAATGACACGTCAGTGCCTTCTCGACAAAGGTAGTACTGGACTGGCAAGGTCAGCCTCAGCCAGATGGCAACTGAAAGCCACACAAATGTTGTTATGTGTAAAAGCTGGAGGCGCGTCAACCGAGATGTAATTAATCGTCCAACATCACCTCTCTCCTTTCGGACAAAGCCGGTGCATCTCCATCTACACAAAAGGCCACAACCAGGTTAGATAGATAGACGGCATAATTGCCGAAAGCTGCCATGTTCCAGCAGGCAGAAGCTTCACCTCCGGGGGCTTTTTGTTTTGATACGGTAAATGTCTGTGGGAAGCCTCATTCTCCATCCAACTGAACTGCTACCGTGGTATTCTACTATTCTGATACGAGGGGTGGTCTGCTATGTGAACCCGTAAGTAAACATAAGGGTTCGTTTGGTTTAAAATTGGAATCGGAATCAAAATTAATCAGAATTGAAATTGGAATAGCCTTGTTTGGAGCAGTTAAGAATCAGAATGGGAATCTGAAAGCAGTTAAAATGGGATTTCATTCCCAAGAGAGGGTGAGAGAATGCCCATTCCATTAGGAATGTGGATGGGAATAGGGGTGTAAACGGATTGATATCTCATTATATCAGACAATATCTGATGGATATTGAAAATTAATATTCGAATTTGAGTCTGATTAAATATTCGAATATCCGATTTGATTTGAATTCGACTAATTAATTATTTTAGGTAATTAATAAATATTTTATTTATATAATTTTAAGTAATTAATAAATATTTTATTTATATAAGTATATAAATATATAAATTATTTATATAATTTAATTATTATATATATAAACTATAAAAAACATTTAATTATTCAATCTTATCAAATTGAATAAGGTCATATCTGAATTTGATTGGTTAGATATTTGATTTATCTGAATACGATTCGATTATGTCGAATCTTGAATTTAAAATCGAATTTTCGAATACCATTAACACCCCTATATGGGATTCTGATTATGTCTGGTCAAATCGTTTAATTTATGCAAGAATCAAAAAAGAAAATTGAAATCAGCAAGAATAAGATTTCATTCCCAAAAGAGGTGAGGAAAGAATGATCATTCCCTAAAATGGGGGAGGAATGACATTCCACCAAGAATGGAAATGAGATTCTTATTCTGCTCAGTCAAATAATTAGAATTGAGATGACCTGATTCCAGACTTCTATTCCTATGACCCAAATGGGCCCTAAATGATTCAGACTTCACCTATAAAAGGTTTCGCGTTTTCTTCCTCTCTATTGGATATATTTAAACCAAATTAATTGACCACACAAATTACCCGATTTAAATAAAAGCATCAAAATTACTATGATGAAAGCATCACCACTAATTCATGCCACGACTCATTGAGACAAACCCTTTTTGTTATATCACTTCCCAGCCTTTCTTTTTTCTACCACTACCAGAAACTAGCTAGAAAGAGCCTGTTTGCTTAATAAAGGTGTAATGCATGTGCCCAACGTGTCAATCCAATTGTTTTTAAGTTTTGGGCCGAACCAGATACCATCCAGGACCCATTGTTTCCCCTCGCCAAATCATGAACAAATTGGATTAAACTTTGTTTATTTGCTTTACTAATAGTCTAATACACAAACAAACAAAAGCCTAAAACCCCATTTAACAGATAATTCGGGTGCTTTTGGTTTTTGGATACGAAAAAGAAAGTATCGTCGCGCAATTTATTTATAGGCATCACGTGGTTGCTGGCTTGCTGCTTACTTTGAGGGATCCGTCTGAAGTTGGGACGTTGGATGCTCTTTTAGTCTTTTCGTCAACCATTTCTCAGGCAAGAAAAATAATTGAAATTACATTGGAAAGAGGCTCGTATCGGAATAAACAAACAGTAGTTAATCTACATGCCTGC